GGGTTCGGGTTCGGGGCGCGAGTGGGCTCGGTCGGTTCTCCAAGGTTCGACAATTATAATAAAAGCTCGGTTCGATCGCCAAACATTCAGGAATTAAAATAGGTAATCCGGTTAACATATATATATATATCCACAAAAATATATACATTAATCTAACAATATTTTCACGTAGGCAAATAATCCAAATAATAATAATAATGCTAATAAAATAATATTCAAAAAATCTAATAATCACATGGGGCATCACAACAACATTGGTGTAATGAATGTTTTTTGTCTTTTTTATTTTATTTTGGATTTTACTGTACGTTTGACGTTTTGTTGATTTTTTTTTACTGTATTTGTTGTTAGTTCATTTTATCCTTGACAAGTGCATCACAAACATAACTTGAAATTAGCGTATAAACACGGCTGAATATCATAATATATCAATAATATCCAAATCCACTACGAATATTACGCCACAACTGAAACTTGTTATGGTACACATCATCCCAATTTACAATTGTCACATTTCGGTATTTCTCCTAAAAATTAGAAATTGGCGGTAATGGAAAATCAGGATACAAATTCACATGAATTGTAGTGCAAAAGAGAATCAAGTTGACATATGACAATCTCGCGTTCAGGTCGTGTCGCCGTGGATGGTGCGTGGAGCGACAATACTGTAGTACTATAACTGTCGATATTGTTACCTTCGGGACCACAGCCTAACAAAATGACAACTGCATTAAACAGTGTAGCAATGGGGAACAGGTCGCATGTAACTTCGATCAAGTGCTCACTGTCACAAATGCCCTCGTCCCATCTTATTCGATGGAGTGTAGCATCCAATCCATTAAAATAGAACGGAGCGTAGTAGTCCCTGTGGGATGCAATTTTATTTGCAATGCTGACTCTTGTCAATCTCAAAATCTCCTCGTCCTTATACACGTAGCTAGCGAGAACTCGAATTCCGCAGTTATCGTCCGTTTTCACATCCAGGTAGCTCTCTACATAGGAGTAAACTATGTATGGAATTTTTGTACAATGTCGGTATCCAAAGAAATCGGTGGAGAAAGTCTCTACAATATGATATTAATTTCACGTGATAATCTTTATAATCGAATTTATATACATAATTAGTTGTTCAGATAACAAAAAAAAAAAAAAAACAAAATCACTTGTCAGATCTTCTGAAGGTTAAGAAGACGAGCTTTTCGGGGCACACAAACAAGTGCTTTTACGTCCCACCAAACGACCTTGTTCCGTGTAGCACACGAAGTGCTTTTACGCCTCACCGGACGACCTTTTTCACTGTACTCCAATTGCGACGGATCACGCTTGGTTGAACTCGTCTTTTTGGGCCGACCTCTTGGATTTTCCTTCACCACAAGTTCTATATAGCCTTGTTGGTCAGGGTGACATTAAGAGTATATGAAGTGATTCATGTACCGCACCGTCGTAGGATCGGCCATATCAATCTCCTCGGCAAGGCTCCGAAAAAACTAATAGTCTGTCTATCCACTCGTCAATCCACTCTATTCACCTGCCCGTACAAAAAATTTAAAAGATTAAATAACATAATCTATAAATTATATAAATGAAACAGTACGTGAACTATACTAAAAAATGAAACACAATTTATAAAAATTCTATTTTGTACATGATGTTTAGATAAGTTCTAGTTGTAACTAACAAATTCTATGTCACCCCCAGCTCCTCTTGTAAACCTAACTCTGACACCTCTAGTGTGCTCCTGAACCTGTGGATCAAGGGACATAATAGGCGTTTCTTTAATTTTTGCCGCTCTTAGGTCACAGGCACAAGAAAGTCCATGGGTGTATCTCAGTACACATCTGCAGCGTCGCGAAATATCAACGCTCAAGTCTTGCATCCTCTTAAGCTCATTATTCAATAAATCCAGACAGTAATGCGAGACCCGCAGTGTCAAGTGCACGATAGGGAATCCTGTGTAACCCGTAAACATCCTAACTCTTGATGACTCGAGCGTGTTCCTTGTAAATACATTACATAACATTAGACCCAAAATTATAATTAATGCAGTAATAACACAATAAATATGTATAACTTAAGGAATGTACCTGACTTGAGTCAGTTGAGAGTCAATCTCCCTATGAATCTTCTCCCACACTGTGTCGAGCGAACCGATCGACGTGTTAAGCCACTGCTTCAACGTCGCGTGGGCACTCTCCACCCTACACGTTGTTGTGTTACCAAAATGTAAAACAGTCTTCGTCCACGCTTTGACAAACTTCTCCTTGTTGACTAACCATGTCTGCTGCACATATTGTACCACACGAGGCATCGACGCATACCGAAGATACATATCACATACGTCAGTCTTGTATTCTACCACCGTGCTCGCTTCGACAACGTTCTTCCACCTATCGTGCGTGAACTTCTGAGCAAATGCCTTATTTTTTGCTACTAGTCGATAGATCTGTCTTCCACATCCTTGTTGATGTGACACATGCAAAGTAAGTGGGACGACTGTGGGAAATTCCTCTGAATAGGAAAATCAAGCCCAACTCCCTGTCAGTGACAATGGCTGAAGGATGTACATTAGGCCCTATCAGAAATCTCAACCATTATAGAACCCAGTCATAACTCTACTCGGTCTCGTCTTTAATAATTACATATGTAATTAAGAAGCTCTTCTTTCACAGCGTCATTCCAACCATTTCCACCAACGACTTATGGTACCTGTGCAAATGAAACCAACAAGCGGAAACAGAGAATCAGAAAACTTACTCAAACATAATAATGAATATTCACACTAAATTGCTATTTACAAAGTAATATACTTGTTGGTTTGTACGTCGAATCTATACTGACATACCAATAATATGTCCAAAATAGACTGACTGCTTAAGGACGCGACATTAGCACATGTGTCAACGCTTGTGTGTCCTGATCAACATCTGTGTAAACTATATACCTGCTAGCCGTAGCTAAATGCAGAATCTGGGCAGCCACATCTCTACCTTCCAAACTATCTCTCCGCAATTTGACTCTATTGTTATACACTTGTCGACGAGTAGCGTTGTCTACATGGTTTTTCTCCTGAATCGCAGCCAAAATTGTTGTCGGTTTTGCCTTAGCAGCAGTCATATCACGGACAATCTCTTCAGATGAATCGCTAAGTCCGCTCATCTGTCGATGACCCTCCGCTACACAGCCATTACATGATTATGCATTCCCTTCTTATCATCAGAAGGAACACATATACAACATTTCTAAGATTCTATCATAAATTTGACTTTTATCAGAAAAAAGGCATTTGGACGTTTTAGTTTTTGAACGTCAACCTTAACTAAATCTCCTATATTGGCTCTGTAACGTTTCCCTCGATGACACCTCAAAACCTTCTGCTTTCTTTCTTTTTCGTGTTTTGAGATGACCAATTCGAAACCCCATATAATTGCAATATCTTTTGCCCTTTTAACAACTTCTTAACAACTATCAAATAGGTCATCTGTAGTGAAAGCAGTTCTGTAATCAACACCGTCTTTCAAAAATTTTCGAGTGACACCTGCAATATATTATGATGTATGCTAATAATTTAACAAAATAATCACTTATAACTTCTAAAACATCGTAATAATTTTACAAAATAATCACTTATAACTTCTAGCATAATAATAGTAATTTGTAATTTATTATAGAATCAATTCTAGCTTCTGACATAACATAGTCTATTCTAATGTATAACACAATAATTTCTAACTTCTAACATAATATCAATAAATTCTACTTCATAGGATAATATATTTTAATCTACAACACAGTAATTTTTAACTTCTAACATAATATCAATAAATTCTATTTATTTAACATAATCAATTATAAACTATAACGTAATAATTTATACTAATATAATTTTGGTCTATTATAATTAATTATATTTTATATCGTGGGGAGGTTGGAGTATTACAGGAAGGACTATAATGATCCGGGAATTTAGAGTTATGAAGGTGTAGCTGGGGCACATATTGTGTTTTTTTGGCTTATGCTTTTTGGCAGCTATTTGTGGCTTCGTATAATTCCGAAAACACTAGTTTTTTGGAAGCTTCTTGTTCATATCTCTCATCAAAAGGCGCTATTAGATAATGTCTGTCTATATAATTATACAAATGTACTAACTATATTAATTATATACTATACTAATTATGCAATTTAATAATTTATACAAATCATACCAAAATATACTAACTATAGTTTATACAAATTAATACTAAGTTATCCTATAATAATAATTCTCTTATAACTTATATTAATTATACTAAATATAGTAATTATATTTATACTAATTAATGCTAACTATATTATAATATAATTTATATTAATTATATAATATACTAATATAATTTAAATAAAAAAAAATATGTCGGGCCGGAACCGGGCACGTTGGCGACGACCGACTGAACGACGACTGCGGCCAAGATAAGTCCGGTCGGCCAGACTTTTCGGCTAGGAAAGGCCTGGCCGCCAGACTTTGGCAGCCATATATGGTCTGACCGAAAAAGTCAACACGGTCGGACCAAAGCCGGTCGTGTTCAATGGCCGACCGCCGCGCGAAAAAAAAAAATTAAAACGTACCTCGTCATCTGACATTATTTCACCGGAATTTGTAGGAAATCTTTTCAGATTTTTTTTTTAGAAACTAAACAAGAGAGAGAGAGAGAGAGTGCAGTGAGAGGAGCGTGATTTTTTTTAAATAAATGACAAATAAATAAATGACAAAAATAAACATTATTATTATTATTATTATTATTATTATTATTATATTATTATTATTATTATTATTATTATTATTATTATTATTATTATTATTATTTCATTTCATTGCCCTTGGGTTGTGTCCGTAGGCAAAATTGATCAATAACAAATATATATTCTATTATTCCACCCTGTTATCCATTTTTTCCATCTCCCAAAATCCTGATATCCCCAAAAATAAACCCTTCGCCACTAAAGAAAGAACGGGTGCAAATATAATGGGGGAAGGTAAGGTGATGGAGATTCTGACCAAGGACGGCGGCTTGTTCGGGCAAACCGAGCAGAACCCGATTGTGGCTGTACAGGTGAAGCTGAAGGAGGTCGAGACTAGGTTTCGTGTGTGGCTAGCCAAGCAATCGTTGCCGGTGGAGGCGGCCGTCGTAACCGCGACCAGCGGGGTCCAAGGCGCCGCAATAGGCGCTTTAATGGGAACGCTCACGGCTGACGCTTCCTCTTTCCTTACACCTCCGCCGAACGCCGCAAACCTCAACCCTGATGCTATGGCGTCACTTAAACAAGCTCAGGTGAGTTATATTCCCAATACGTTGCTCTGTTTGTACACTGCATTATCTTTTGTTCTCGAATTGAAGGTGTTGTTGAGGTAAGTTCAATTTAGCTGTATGTATTGTGTTAAAAAACATATATTTTCATCTGTAACCAGTGTAACGCCGGTGTTTAATATTTAATACTGTTTGTCTAAAATTAGTACTATTTGTCAAAAATATAAATTTTGGAGGAAATTGTATAATTTCTTTATGGTGGTTTTAAAGAAAAAAAAAATAAAAATTCTATTAAGGTAATTTGAAAACAAAAACAGAACAAGCTGCTTCTCTTTCCGTGTAGTTTACCATTAACTATTTAGTGGAAGATGGACATCGGGGGATATAATTGACTACTAGTTATTATTTTACAAAGTACAACAAATTTAATTAGGAATAATTAGTAAAGAAAATTTGGTAATTAAGAAAATTTGAAGAACAAATTTAACTAGAGATTATAGTAGATGTTCTGTCCATAGACCAAGTAGTAGGGTTGGTTAGAAAGGAAGATAGGATTATAATCTTAAAAATCATAATAGGAAATGAACCCATAAATATATTAAGTACTTATGCACCTCAAATAGGACTAGGTGAATCAATTAAGATTAAATTTTGGGAGGACTTGGAGTCTTTGATCCAAGCAATTCCTCAGAATAAGAAATCCTTTTGGGAGGGGATTTAAATGGGCATGTAGGGGAGAGAAGCATTGACTATGAGAGGGTTTATGGGAGAGTTCATGGTTGGTTTTGGTCTTAGAGTATCAAATAATGAAGGTAAAGTATTCTAGATTTTTTGGTGGCGTGTAATTTCATCATATGGAACACTTTAAAAAAAAAAAAAAGAAAGAGGAACACTTAATTACAAATAAGAGTGACACTAATAAATCACAAATTGACTATTATCTAACTAGAAAAAGTGATAAAAGATTTTGCAAAGGTTCTAAGGTAATAACCGGAGAGGGTCTTACGACCCAACATAGATTATTAGTCATGGATAGAAGTATTAACTGTAGTCAAGGTAAGAAGAAAATACCAAAGATACCTAGGATAAAGTGGTGGAACCTTAATAACAAAGATAAAAGGAAAAAAATACTAAGACTTTACTTGAAAACATTACCTGGAGTATGGAAAAAAGAAGCAAATAAAACATGAGAAAGTAAATAAAGAGATAAAATCAATTGTTGAAAGAGAATTAGGGGTTTTTAGAGGTATTGAGTATAATAAAGAATCGTGGTGGTGGAATCAAGATATTCAAGGAAAGGATAACGAGAAAAAAACGTGTTACAAATCGTTATACAAGTGTAAGAGTGGTGAAAACATAGAAAAATATAAAAGTGCTAAAAAAGAAGTGAAAGAGTTGGTAAGCAAAGCAAACATTAAAGCTTTCGAAAACTTTTATAAGAGATTCGATACCAAGGAGAGAGAAAAGGACATAAAATTGCAAAACAAAGGAAAAAGAAGACAAAGGATTTAACGAAATGCATAAAAGATGAAAATGAAGAGATATTAGTTGACGAATAAATAATAAAAGATGGGTGGAATGATTATTTTCATAACCTATTTAATGAAGTAGATAATAGGGGAATATCGCTTGGGGAATTAGTGGAAAGTAAGAAATATAAAAATTTCACGTACTATAGAAAATTCCAAACCAAAGAAGTAGAGAAAGCAATGTAGAAAATGAACAATGGGAAAGTCGTAGGTCCCGATGATATTTCAATACAGGTATGGAGATGCCTTGGTAAATTTAGAATTGAATAGTCTACGAACTTGTTTATAAGAAAATGTCCAACCAAGAAGTACATTAATACATTTGTTTAAAAATAAAGGAGATATACAAAATTGTACAAACTACACAGGCATAAAACTAACGTCTATAAGAGAGTAATATAAACTAGACTAATGGAAAACCAATTTGGCTTTATGCCAGAAGATCAACAATGAAAGCATTCTAGTAATAAGGAGACTTTGTGAACATTTTAATAAGAAAAAACAAAATGTGCAATGGTCTTTATTGACCTTGGAAAAGTATGATAGTGTTAATAGAGGTATAATGTGGATGGAGGGTGCGAGTTGGTTATATAGAAACCATAAAAGATATGTATAATAAAGTGAAAATTTTTGTTAGAACACTAGTAGGGATATTGGGTGGAAGCATTTGCAATTGGATGTCACCGATTGCATTTTGTTTGCAGATGACATAGTGTTAGGAGATTAGACGAGAGAGAGGGTAAATGCTAAGTTAGAAACTTAGAGAGAGGAGCTTGAAACAAAGAGTTTCAAAATAAGTAGGACCAAAACGGAATATATGGAGTGTAATTTTAGTAATCAAAGGAGTAATACGAAAATGTTCCATATTCGCAAGGGATTCGACAATGCCATAACCCATCTAAAGGTTTTAAATATTTAGGATCAATCCTAGAAGAAAATGGCAACATATAAGGATGTAGCACATAGAATTCAATCGGGGGGATGAAACAAATGGAGAGACACGTTGTCGATACTTTGTGATGGTAAAGTACCATTGAGTTTTAAGGCAAGTTTTATTGAATGACCATTCGACCAAAGTGTTGGGCTATTAAATATGAAAATGATCAAAAAATGCGAGTAACATAGATTTGAATGTTGAGATGGATGTGTGGGAATATTAGAATGAAAATATTAGAAATAAAGTTGAGGTAACACCTATAGGAAAAAAAATGAGATAATCACGATTAAGATGATTTGAGCATGTGCATATGAGAGAATTTGAAGCCCTGGTGAGAAGAACATAAACATTAGAATTAATAACGCAACTTAAAAGGGGTTTGGAAGGAGGCAATAAAAATAATTTAAAATATTTAAATTTGAATGAGAATATGTGTTTTGATCGAGCACGATGGCGACGATGGCGACATGTGATCCATATCATGTGAGGGTCATATATCTGAATGGACTTAAATTATTTGGGCCCATATTGTGGGCCTCAGGAGTCGTGATAATATACAATATCATGTGGGCATATATTGTGGGCCTCGAGAATCGTTTATATTTCCACGAAAGTAGAACGTTTGCACTTTACAGTCAACTCTTTAGTCGAGATTGCTCTTGACCACCTTTCATGTGATTACTAGTTTACTACAACTTCTGCATAAATTCACGTATTCAGCCGACCCCATTTAGTGGAATTTTAACGGCTTGTTGATTGATTAATTTATAAAACAGAGGAAGTGTGTGAATGTTATCGGTTTATTTAGATAATTACGAATGTCATATTATATCATAGGCAGTATGTTTAGAAAATATAGTTAATATAGGTATTAATTTATTTGAAATTAATCATAATAAGTTTTGGGACCACGAGCTTGTAGCTCAAATGGTCCCTCTTTATAAGGGTGTTGAACTGGTTGATACATGGTTGGATCCGTGTACCTCAGTGTCCAGTGTCCCTTACGAATGTAGAATCCCCGCCCAGCTAGTTCCCCTGTAACCATTTCGTAAAAAAATAGAATAATAAGTTTGTGTGGTACTTGGGATGTATAGGATCAGTAAAGAACTGCTATTGTATGCTTCTTTCTCAATAGTTCTAATCACAGTGTGTTCACCTAACTTGAGCCGATTAGGATGAATCAATCAGTTCCACCATCAACTTCACTGTGCAATTGTTCAAGTATCTATTGTGGAAAAGGGGTAAGAATAGTTTATGAAATTTACACTAGTATCTTGGATATATTCATGTACTTGGCGATCTTGGTTTCTGGACACCATTACGGATTTGGATGCAAGGTATTTTATGGACTTTGGGAGCAAATGTGCTTCTTGGACTTAAATAGTACATAAAGTTTGGTTTCACGTTGAACATAAAAAATGATTGCTTGCTTTGTTGTTGCCCTGCAGGCTCTTTCTGGTGGTCCATTGGTGCAAGCACGTAATTTTGCGGTCATGACTGGTGTCAATGCCGGCATTTCATGTGTCATGAAAAGATTGAGAGGCAAGGAGGATGTTCAATCTAGGTATTGGTTTGCTGAGAACCTGGATTTAGTATCAACCTTATCCTTCTCTTTATATTAAGTTTATACCAGAGAAAAGGTGCCTCGATCTCTCCAATTTTGAGGCTTTTATCGACTACGTGTTACGTCCAATTTGGCCCATTCCACTTGTTCTTGTGTGTGTGTTATTAATATAAAAAAATGAATGGAAATGAATTACAGATATGCATATTATAGAAAAGCCCCTCAATTACCTGGAGTCCCTTGAAAGTTGAAAGTTATGGCTGACTCTGTTCATTGGTTAGTGAATAGCGACGGAAGGAAAAAAAATACATTAAAATCAAGGATTTTGGGCATCTGAATAGTGATGACTTTCGCATATAAACCAAAATTGTTTCAATATTTTTCGCCGTCGAGAATTATTTTTTTTCCTTAAACTAAACATATATTGATCTATATATATATTGATAATTAAATCTCATTTGTTTTTTTTACTAAGACACGTTGCAGTTGGTGGAATTCTGAACTGGGTAATCTATTATGACATTAAGTTGCATAGTTCTGTGTTTGATGGTCACATATGATTTATTTTATCGCTTATTACTCTATTAATCATCTTTATTCTCCTCTTTTCTGGAGTGAAGTATGGTTGCTGCTTTTGGTTCTGGGGCCATGTTTTCATTAGTAAGTGGCGTGGGTGGACCTAATCAGGCAGCAAATGCTGTTACCTCTGGTCTCTTCTTTGCTCTCGTTCAAGGTGGAATTTTCCAGGTGATTATTTCTGCAGATTACCTTGTATGCATCTTAATACCCTTAAATTGGTTTCTATATTGCTTACTTGTGCTATGTTGTCAGTAATCTCTCTTTCTCTCCCTCCTTTAATTAGGTGCAACTTGAAATGATTTTTTTTTTTTTTTTTTTTTTGTTTGTGGTTAAAGAAAAGTGGGAGAGTAAGGGTTTTATGGGATATGGATTGAACTAGTTTTTAATTGGTTTTTTAACCCTAGTACATTTTTAAAAATGTGGTATGGTTAGTTATTAGTGGGAATGAATCAAAAGGAGTAATGTTCACCTACCCACGGTGGGCACATATTAATATGCCTACCGCTTATGTGACATGTACTCATTGGTGATGTATTTTTTGAACATATTAACATCACCAATGTGTGCATGCCACATAAGCGGTAGGCAGATTAATATATGCCCACCGTGGGTAGGGGAGCATTATCCATGAATCAAGTGTTATATTCTGGTGGAACTCAATTTGATGGCTATGTGAATTTTTCCTTTTGGAAACACATCAAGTGGCAATGTTAATCTAGTAGTTTGAAAGTTTTCCTTTTTTAAAACGGACCAATAGTTTTTAGGAATTCTATGTGCTTGTTAAAATATTCTTCATTTCATTAGCTTATATATTGAGGCTAAGCACATAATTATGCTCGGTAATACAGTTTGGACAGAAGTTCTCACAACCACCAGCTGAGGATGTGTACTATATAAAGACAAGATCTATGTTAAGCAACCTCGGCCTACAAAACTATGAGAAGAATTTCAAGCGAGGCTTGTTGACGGACAGCACTTTGCCTTTGCTAACTGATAGGTAGTAACTCATTTACTATTTAAAATAACTCTTGATATTTCATTTCAAAGCGCGACCATAGATATTGATAACCTTCTGTTTCGTGTTAAAATTCAGTGCTCTCAGAGATGTGAAAATACCTCCTGGACCAAGGCTGCTCATTCTTGATCATATAGAGAGGTATAAAGTAGAAAAACATTCATCTGATACTATTTACGAAGGAAACTATTGCGGTAGTTTAGTTCAATTGTTGAGAAAAAAAAAAAGAAAAACTTCCGAAATTTAAATATAGAGAAAATTGCAGTTTTAGTCATGTATGTTTCACTACCCTAACTTTTTCGTCCTATTTGAATTGTTTTTTTTTATTTTCGTCCCTTATGTTTGCAAAAAAAGTTACAAAAAGGTCCCCGACATACATAAGGGACGGAATTGGAACTTTTTTTGCCAAGGATTTTTTTGTAACCTTTCTGCAAACGTATGGAACGAAAATAAAAATAGCAATTCGAAGCGGACAAAAAAGTTAGGGTAGTGAAACATACAAGACTAAAGTTACAATTTACTCTCAAATATATTCCCGTGAAACTTGTGTATGTCTTACATGAAAAGTCACATCCTTGGAAAGATAAAACAAACACAAGGAGGTGATTGCGACAATTTTGAGTATATGCCCTTTCGTGAGATGACATTAGTTTTTGGTAAAAAAAAAAAGGCTAAACTTTAGTGTAGTTAGATATTTGACATACTGGATATTCTGATGAATGTTTGTGTGAGCTGCAGGAGCCCAGAGCTAAAAGACAGGCGGAATGTTTCCCGTTGAATTAAGACTGAAAAGTTGGGTCTAAGCTATGAATCTGTTGCTAGGATACTCTTCTCCACATGAAGAGAAGACAAGAATTTTGTTTTGCTACTTTGTTGTATGTCATATTGAAGAATTTGTTTTGCTACGCGTTCGGGATTTGTTGTGGTTTCCATCAAATCGTACGCTAATGGGTTTATTTTTGCTCATGGCTTTTGCTATATGCACTCTGTTTAATTCATACTTGACCCTGCTCAGACACTCTCTAGATTTGGTGGCCAATTCAAGCTCACTTTTATTAGAGTGTCCTTCTCCACAGTAAAGGACTAGAATGTTGGATTTTAGAATAGGGAATTTTGCAGTAAAGGGCTGGAAAGTTGGACCTTTATGTTATTTGATGATATGCATACTTCAACTCGAAACATTACTCTAAAAAAAATAGTATAAATAATAAATGTATTAAAGACTAGACATTTGTAGGTATATTTGTTACTAAACATTTCAAGTTGAAACATAATTTTATGAAACAATATAAATAAAAGTATTAACATTTCATTAATAAATAGGTATATTTGTTAGATGAGTCGACATACCTAATGGTGAAGATGCCTCATATAATAATTTGCATACATACTTAGATAAACTTTTAGCAAGTTACAATTAAAATAATTTATTCTTAGTATGTTTTTAGTTATAATTAAAACAAATTATTCTTTCTATGTTGAAGAAACACTGGAATTATGATGGGAATATAACTTTCTACGATATCAGAGCACCCACAATGCTTTGGGTCTAATTTTACATATGTGGCATATAAATAGATTTAAGTCCTAAATGACATGGACAAACTCAAGTAAAAAAGCTCAAAAGCTATTCAATGCAAAAATAAAATACTAGTCTAGCATACATGACAACCAATAAAAATGCTCTAATATATTTTATTTATTAAAAGAAAAAATAAATGAGGAATAAATGACTAGTGCTTGGGTTTGTACTTGGGTCTAAAATAGACCCAAGTATGGACTAGGTCTCTTTTTTTTTTTTATTGCCACATAAGCTAGACTAAGTCCACTTTTAATTGCATTGGGAAACACTTACTTATAGACTAGGTCTATTTCCTACATGGCATATAATTTTTTTCTAAGAGACCCAAAACATTGTGGGTGCTCTAAGGGACATTACTGTCATTTCATCAACCTCTTCAGTTCCCATCTAAAGGCATTTACAACCCCAAATACACAACTCTATTTCATTTAAATAAAATTTAATACTCGCTTTCATCCACATTGTATTTACATGAGTTTTCCACTAAATCTCTCTACATTTAAACACACACCACATTCCTATTTATTCATTAAATACATACTCCCTCCGTTTCAAATTATAAGTCGTTTTGTCTTTTTAAAACATCCACTTTGCTATGTATCTAGATAATTATATGTCTAGATACATAGCAAAATGAATGAATCAAAAAAGTCAAAAAAAACGACTTAAAATTTGAAACGGAGGGAGTATATAAGGCATCTTATCCACTCATTCAGTATAAATTTTAATTTTCCGTGCTCAATAAAAATAAAAATTTAATATATTAAAATTACAATAAAAAATTTAAATGCATGAAAATAAAAGAGCACTATAAGACCAAATAACTTAAATTAAGATTACACAAGAAAAAAAAATCGTAGAATTACAAAAATATATATATTTTTTGATTGGTGCCAAATGAGTCCAAATATGTTCAACTAAGTTGGCACGAAGTTGATGATGCATTGTGTTATTTCGTAACTCTGAACTTCTACGAATATAATTTTCAAATTTTCGATTTCAACCCTGGATAGGTTGTGCGGACTCCTCATCCTAGTGGTTGTACCACTGTGTTACTACATCTCCTTTAATGCAAGTGTAAGCGTCCGGGTCCGGTTTGGAGTAGATCGATTCTTGTCCTTGCCGGTAGAACGCCGAGAACCTGCAAATAACTCTCACACCGGGGGTTGGATCCG